CTTGGCTACAGTCTTCTGGACTTCCTAGAGGTACAGAATACTGTTGAAGACATCCACTTTGAAGGACCTAAGCTAGTGATCCCCAAACCTTTTTGCTCAGGTTCCCTTACCTGGTTCATGCCCCCCAGAGCCACGGTTGGGAGCCTTGGTGGGAAACCGGTGCCAGGAGTGGGGCTGCGGCCCGGAGTGGAGCCGGGAGCGGAACTGTGGCTGGGAGTGGGGCCACAGTCAGGGCCAGGGCTGCAGCTGGGGCTGTGGTTGGGGCTGGGAGCCAGGGGTTGAGGTCAGGGCTGGAAGTCGGAGGCCACAGCTGGGAGTGGGCCCACGATTGGGGCCAGGAGCTGGGGGCCATGGCTAGGAGCGGAGCCACGGCTGCAGCCATGGTTGGGAGTGGGGCTGCAGCCAGGAGCAGAGCTGGGGACAGAGTGGCTAAATCCTATGAATCAGAGAAAGTTTGGCCTTTCAGCCAAACATAGAACTGCTGACTCAATCCTGAGTTTCATTCCTTCTTCTGCTGTAGACTTCCTCTGTGATGTTGGGCAAGCCATTTAACTCTATACCTCAGTTTCCCATGTAAAATGGGAATAATGTCACAGTTCTGAGTTTTAATTTAGAAATGTGTTTTGAGAATGTTTAAATTTATTAAAGTTTTTATAAGTGCAAAGTAATATTATTATTACTATAAATTCAAAGGGCCCAATACTTGATTTTCTAGCTCTAGAATACTTCCCATGACTCAAAAATAAATAAATAAAATAAAATAAAATAATAAAAAAAAAAGGCCCATTATACACAAGCATATATCCGCAACAATGGCTTAAGTTAGATCACCTTGCAGTAGGGAAAGCATGACCAAACAAGTTGAAAATAGTCCAAAAGGACTATGTAACATTATGTGAAGCATCAAGTCCTACAGGAATAACAAATCAAATGTCACAAAGGATCATAAGGCAGGTACCATTCGGAAAAGAACCATAAAATATCTTACCTGTTGTAATGAAGCGGCCTCTGGCGGGACACTACTGAGAGTATCAATTCAGGACTAATTGCTTAGAGCAGAGCAGTCACAGCCCAAGGCTGGGGGTCCTTTATTACTAAGGCACACCAAACCAGCCAGCCAGAGAGGACTTCAGTTTTACCCCACTGGCTAACCAGGAGTCATACAAGCAATTCCCTCAGATATTCCAGTTCCCTTGTGTCACCACCCGCACCTTATGGGGATGAATGGTTATGAAAACCAATATCCCAGCAAAAGAAAAAAGGTTCTCCCGATCCCAAAGGACCAAGCCCCAGACCCAGGTCAATATACAAATTAGATCTCACCCACAAATCACGCTGTTGCCAATCCTTTAGAATCTAAAATCTAAAGGTTTATTCATAAAAAGAAATATAGATGAGAGCTAAAATTGGTTAAAGGAATCAATTACATACAGTAATGGCAAAGTTCTTGGTTCAGGCTTGTAGCAGTAATGGCATAAACTGTAGGCTCAAATCAAGTCTCTGGAGTACATCTAAAGATTTGAATGGGTCATTCAGTCCATTGTTCCGAGCTTCAGTTTGTAGCAAAGTTCTTCCAGAGGTAAGGAGCAGGATTGAAGACCAAATGGAGGGGTTTCCAGGGCCTTTTATATCCTCTGCTATGTGAAAGGACACCCCCATGTTCTTACTGTGGAAAATCACAGCAGCAAGGTGGAGTTTGGAGTCACATGGGCAAGTCACATGTCCATGCATAACTCAGTTCTTTATAGGCAGAGCAGTCATTGCTCACATGCTACCTTGAACGTTCCCAGGAAGGCTCCTCAGATGTGAATTGGAGTCTCCCAAGGTCCAGTGTCAGTTAAGTGTTTCTTGATTGGGAACTTAATCTGAAAATTCCTTTTTCAAAAAGCTGACCAAATGCTTCACTAATGCTACTTAGAATCAAACACATTGAGATACAAGTACATAGCTAATATTCATAACTTCAAATACAAAAATGATACACACAGACAGCATAATCATAACCAGCAAATTACAACCTTTTCATAGACACCTTACTTGACATCCTTTCTACAAGATTTGGTGTAACTATAGGACCTTGGTTGCAACAATGATTTATACGGTCACAGTTCATGTCAATAACGTCACACCTGTTCATTACCACTCTTTTATCCAGTTGGTCCAATAAAAGATATTATCTCACCCACCTTGTCTCTCTAATAAAAATGTATGCAAAGATTCCCTGGGGGTGCTCTTAGAATGGGGAAACGTCTTAGCTCTCTTTGTAAGATGTAAAGGAAGCTCACGTCTTGATTACTGCAAGATGTTTTTTTCTGGCTTGACAAATGCAATCTTGTCCTGCTCCTATCCATTCAGTGTTACTGGCATGACCCGAGGGGGGGAGGCAGCCCAGGCTACATAGAGGGGGTCATGGCATGGCTTGGGGGTAGCCTATGGTACAGCAGGGGGAAGGTTGTGGCAAGGCCTGGGGTGTAAGATCTGAGACCTTCTTCTGCAGTAAAATCAGCAGCCCTGAGCTAAGTTGCAGAAAGTCACATCCTCAGTTTACATCTAAACTGCACAAAAACAATGTAATATCAGGCTGTTAAGAAGGTAGTCCTGTCCTAATAGTACCCACCATCACCAGATAAAAAAACAGATTTTGAGATGTTTAAAGAATATGTTGCTTGATAGCATTCTGTCTGGCAAGAAACCACTTATCAAGTTATGACAGTAAAATCTATACTTCTCTATTGTTTTGCCTTTATGGCCCTGATTTCTCTATTGTTTATCTGTATGGTCTCTGTCTGATTATTTAATTGATTCTGTCTATTGCATAACTAATTTTGCAAGCTTGGAACCAACTAAGGTGGTGGAGCATGATTGGTAAAGAAGTGTTTCACAATATGTTAGGACTGGTTAAAGAATTATTTTGTAATAGTTTAATAAAAATAGTTGGATAACATACAAATAGTCAGGACTCAAGTTTCACTATAAAAATTTGGGTCCAAGAAGAAATGGAAGAAGAACCTAACTCCAGAACACAGCCCAACATCAAAGCTGCCAAAATCATCATGCCCTGCCAACTATATACTGTTCAGAAGCTGGAGTCCTGGACTACCTGATCCTGACTGGCCACCAGGAAAAGTTTGTTTGCCTTATTGGGAGAGGCGAGCACTGTATGTTTAGCATGTGTATTCTGTTGATCAATTGTTAATAAATATAAGTAAAGGATATTATTGTATAAGGCTCTTTCACTGGGAAAAGGCCCTGCAGACCGTAAAGCCCTGAGCCCACCGGAAATGGGTGTTATCCCGGAGCCCACGGCAGGTTAAAGTTGGGTCCCTTACTTCCTGAGTACCCAAAAGAGAGGATAGGTGGGTGAGAGCCCTAAATTGTGGGGGAAACAGGGGTAGCCTGGGGCACAGTGGGGGGGAGGAGGAACAGACTGGGGCACAGCAGGGTGGGATTGTGGCACAGTCCCGGGGGGTGTAACTGGGGCACAGTGTGAGGGGTGTTGTGACATGGTCCCGGGAGGGGGAGGACTGACTGAGGCACAATGGGGGGCTGTGGCCATAGGCAGTGTCTTTATGAGTTGCTGGGGTGTGCTCGAGCCCCTGCTCCACCCCAGGCCCTGCCCCCACTCCACCCCTTCCCACCCCTGCTCCACCCCATTCTGCCCTCTCCCGAGAGCACCCTGCACTCACTCCTCCCACATGCTGCAAAACAGTGATCTGCAGGGGATGGAAGGCACTGGGAGGGATGGGGAGGAGCTGATCGGTGGGGCTGCCGGTGGGTGCTGAGCTGCCTATGGTTGTGGCACAGGCCAGGGGAGGCGGCCTGGGCTTTGTGGACAGGGTTGTGGGTGTGGCAAGACCTGGGGGGCTCAGTCTGGGCTTTTTGGATGGGGTCGTGGCAAGATGGGGGGGGGTCAGTCTGGGTTTTGTGTGTGTGTGTGTGTGGGGAGGGGGGGTGTTCAGCCAAGAGCACAATGGGGGGGGGTCGTGGCACAGGCCAGGAGCAGCCTGGGGCACAGCGGGGGTCATGGCCCTCAGGGCAGTTTACGGTACACAATGGGAGTCGTGGCATAACAGTGGGCAGCCTGGGATACTCGGGGGGGGTGTGTGTGTCACAGCACAGAGCAAGGTTTCATCGGGGATACGGGTGTGTGTTGTGATACCGTAGGGCAAGGTGGGGTGAACATGGGGGTTCGTGGCGTGGGGGGGTATCATGGTGTGCGCGGGGATTCATCGGAGGGGGTCTATATATAGGTTTTTAGCTAGTGCTAGTCAGAGCCCGCCCGTAACAAGACACTGTGGCTGGGGGTGACACGGTGCTCTCTGTGTACTCTGCCTAAGGTGACCAGACA